CACCGCCTTACCTTCACTCCCACGTCACTTCCACGTCCATTCTCCGCCCCCCTTCTTCCATCATACGTAGGATTACAGTTTTCATAAAATTAAAAAAAAGCAGTCGCAAATGACGCATGAACCTGTGGGCATAATGTCAATCAGCTTGATTTGAAATTTCGAATGAAGTTGAATGTGGGGCGGGGAATTGAAATTGGGAATGGAAGTGGGAATCAGGAGGGTTGGATGATTGTTTCAAACAAAAATGACATGGATAAGACCATTAATAGAATCCACGTGGTAGACTAGAAAAGTGATTATAAAATCGGGAATGAAAATAGGAGAAAGTTGGATGAGTGAATTCTTTTGAAGGTTTGTTGCTATTCTGTGTTTTATTTGCAAGGGAAAAGATGGATCAGATGTCTCAAATATATTTTATAGCTCGGTATAAAACTACCTAGTTTTATACCTATAAAATAAACCATACAGCTTTTTTTACGTTACTTTTACTTGATTGTGAAATTTACATGGTATAATTTGAGAAGTATTAACTGATGTATTATCATATTCAGCATTTTATTAAGAGAAAAAAATGACATTCATAAATGTAATCTGTTGTGGATTTCTTATAAATTGGTGGTAAGATGAACCGTTTAGAACATTTAGTGTTACCTAGTTGAAATTTAGATTAATAATTAATTTAATGATTAAAAAATATTTAAATTGAGATCAGAAGTACGTTGAAATTTTAGAACAATGAGCTAGCAAGGAAATTTAAAGTTGGTTTGAATTAATCATTGCAATTATTAATGCAATTAAAGCATTTAACAGGTCGTGAAGAGAGCGAAGTAACTGTGGAAATATTTTAAGAAGCTTGTATTTTGTTAAATTCCCCAAAAGCTTATGTGTTTCGAACTGCAATGAATGTAAACAAACAGCAAAAAACTGTAGCAACTGCTGACCATTTTCCTGATGGATCGATTACAAGAATCATTTTTGATAATTTCCTGTAAGTTTTTAACTATTAGAATGTTAAACATGACAGATCAACATGTAGAGCTATCGGGTACACAGAAATGCATGTGGAAAATAAGAGCTACACATGTATAAATCATGTAGATAATGTGTCACCGACTGTAGAAATAAACAAGTTTATCAAAAGATTATAGAAATGAGATAACGATATGAATAACATGTATTGATTGCAAAGTTCAAGGAATGTGTTATTTTCATGGCTTATTAGATGTATCAGAATTTAGAAACTTAGATGCTTCTCATTCGGCTCTTTAGTAAGGCACTTTTCTAATAAGAAAAGACAATCAGGATGATGTGTCAAAAAAAGAAAAAAGGAGAAAAGAGGGGAAAAATGTTGATTTAAGAAAAAAGGACAGATAAATCTTTCTTTATATCGTATTGTTTTAGTGGTGGAGACTGAGAAGCTGGTAAGGCAGTATCTTTTATTTATTTTTCTCTTAAAAATTTGAAGCATTACACTAATATGGATCAATCTGTCGCTGCACGTTATGTGTTCATTACAAATTATTTTAACTGTCGTTACCTTATTCATTAAATTGGATCAAAAATTCATTAATTTTAATTTGCTTCACTACATGAAAATAGTGTGAGTTGTTAAAAGGTTTACAAAATTCCCAAATATTTGCTTTCAGTTAGTAATTTCAGGACTTACGAATATATGGAACTATTTCCTGGTCCAAATTTGAATGTTATTGTTGGACCAAATGGGACAGGTTGGTATCTAGACGATTTTTGAAGTCTCCAGCCTTAGCTGAGAAGTGAACTAAAATAGTGAATACCGAACATAAAATAACCGGTTCTTGAATTTGATTTCATACTTCATTTTATTTTATTTTTTAAGGTAAAAGCACAATTATGTGTGGTTTATGTCTGGCAGTAGGTGGCACTCCGCGATTATTAGGACGTTCCGAATTGTTAGCTGATTATATCAAGCACGGTTTGGAGAAAGGATCTGTTAAAGTTTTCATGTAATACTTCTGTTTATCATAACATTGTTGGATAAGCATCTGTAAGGGGAGTTAGGAATTGCTGATTTTTTAACAGATGCTCGAAAAATGAAAAATATGGATGTTTTTTTTTTTTTTGTAAAAGATGCTTCTAAAGTTTGAATGATTTTAGTCGCGATTCAAAGCTTGGAAAAGATCGAACATTATCGATTGTTTTGCATCGATCCGGCTGCTCTGATTATTTTGTTGATGATGAAAAAGTAACACAGACAAAATTGCGTGATGTTGTTGCAAGCTATAATATCCAGGTGAAATACTGATTCTTTGACCTGAAATGCTGGCCGATTTAGGTCTTCTGCTTACGTTGGAGCTCTTCTTCAAAAAATTTTTCTGTGTAATATTATTTTCTGTTATATTTCAAACGTCCTCATTTGTCTGAAGATTTTTAGTCTTAACTTGCGTTACGGAACGAAGTTCTGCGTGCAAATAATGATAAATTTAGAATATGCGTACGTTAACCGCAAGAAGAAATATAAATTGGGATAGAAATGGCGAAATCATTACTTATCGGGAAAAAAATATAATAAATCGAACTAAAAACATTTTCCCTCGCAATAATTTATGGTGAACCTAATACGGACAGTGCATTGTACTGGAAAAGTGCTTTAGATTTTTTTAGCAAACTATGCTAATTATGTTACTGCAAACTAACTTTGACCATTCAGTTCTTAAAACAAAGACTCTAAAGCACTTTTGTCTTTTAGTGTTTTTTAATAAAAACTGAAATGGATAGGAATACGTTCGTGAAAAGTGAATTAACGAAAGGAATGCATTGAAGATGCAATATTTTTTTCATTTACTTAGAGATGGTTTAAAATTACATTTCCAGTCACAAATTTCAGATTGATAATCCATGTACATTCCTCGCACAAGATAAAGTGAAAAGTTTCGCGGAACAAAAACCATATGGTCTGCTTAAAAATACAGAGAAAGTTAGGATTAAAAATCTTTTAAGTTTTATTTTTCAACATTTTTGTGACCGCCTAATTGGGACATTTAATTTGACATTATATTTAGGTTGTTGGGGAGGAACTGGTCGACCTACACAAAAACATTCATCACTTGCGATTTACTCATTCACCTTTTTCACATACTAAATAGTATGTTCAGTCTTTTTTCTTTTTTCTATTTATTATTTCATTTAGTTCTGTAGATTTTTTTTGGTCATAAATGTCGCTGGATTTTGAAGCTTGGAAGAGCGTTTGAACTCCGTGCAAAGTGAATTGAAAACGTTGGTCCCTCTAATTGAAAATTATCGGCGGCGAGAAACAATGCGAGAGCATATTCGACTTCTCCAATGCAAACAACTTTATCTTGTTTGTTAATACCTTGTTTTTTTTTTCCACTTTTTTCTTTTTTCAGGAAAGAGTTTCTAATCGGTGCACCGATTTTTCTTTTCGTGATATAAGTGTACTCTGAGTCTCATGAGGCAATTTTATAATTCGTTTATTTACTTTTAGGTAACTGTGGACTTTTTTCTTTTCATTTGTGCTTGGGATAAAATAATTTTCTAATTTATTAATATTGAGAATATTTGATTTTCAGGAATATTCGGAGGCGGAGATGGTCGCTCATGAAAGAACTCAATATAAGCGGATGAAAGAGGAGGAACTTGAAGAGGTGAACTTTCATCATCCAAAATTTGAAAATTTCTAGTCTCCAATTTTAGAGAAAGTGTTTAATTTTCTATATAATCATTTTCTTTTATTCTGTTTTATAAATTTATTTATCTCCTTTTGCTACATCTGCCGCTCTGGTATGACCAAAGTGTTTTTGTCAATGACTCACTTGAAACATAATTTCTGCATTATAGTTTTCTTGCATATTATAAGTAGTGAAAATTCTATTTGTTTTTTTTCATTATTTTTAGGCTAAGTTTATGCGCGCATTCAAGATTCATAACCATCTATTTCTTTGATGTTGATTAATACAAAATTGTAGATTGCTCGCTAGAATTATAGAGGCTGCTTAATATTTTTTTTATGCTTATAATAAAAAAATAATTTGTAACAGACGAAAAAAGCAATGTTACCCATCAAAAGTCTCTTAGAACAACAAAGAATTGTGAATGAAAGGCATAAGCGCGAAGAAAAGAGTGCCGTTAGTTCTTTCTTCATTTGTTCATTAATTTGTTTTTGAATTCTGTTTAAAAAGCTCTTATTTTTTGAATATTGAAAAAAAGCAGAACAATTACTAGTTGTATTTGCAGCTTTAAGTAAATACGAAATCAGTGCCCAACTGAATTTATAAGATTTTTTTGCTATGAGAATGGGATTTATTTCTGTATTGTCTCTGTTGTCTCACTAAAAGACGAATCTTTTCAAATCCTATTTATTCTTTCTAATAATAAAATTCGTTAAGTACAAAGACTATTAAGCAAGTATTCCAGATGGATGGATTGTTATCAATAGAGAAGGAAATGGAAAAATTGCTTGCAATTGAATTAGTGGATGAATCGGTAAGTAATGTTAGATTTTTTCCAGCAGAAAATAAAAATCGTTAGCATGGTCAGCCAGAAATTCTTTTTTTATTACTGTTCTAATTGTTCGTACGATAAGAATCAGTAATTGTTGGAACTTGCTGTAAAACGTGGAGATTGTCGTTAATAGGCTATGTGAAAAGAAAATTACATAACGATGCTGTTTTTTTTTCTTTTAGTGGTAATATTAAATTATAGATAATAAGTGCGAAAAGAGATTATGAACGGGCTAAAAAAGAGTACGATGAGTGGGAGGAAAGACTAAGTGCCGCACGAATGGAACATAATCATTTGGAGGAAAAACTTGCTATTGCAGAGCGAGAATTTACGTCCATGGAGGTATTCTATGTTGTACCAAATTTATAAATCAAACAAAGAATCTTTAAAATAAAATATTATGTCAGCCTTCGTTTGTGTTTATAAAGTAAAAATGAAGAGGGTTTGATTTTGATAGTACTTCTTGCTGGAAGTGATTCGACGTAGTTTTGGTTTTGGAAATAGATCAAGTGAATTAAAGGCTTAAATCGTAAGCTTAGAATTGTGATTTTTTTGAGAAGTTCTTTGTCTGCTATCAGTATATCTCCCCTGCAAGGAATTTTTTCATGGAATAGTTTTTTCGGAAATTTTATCTTCATTTTTTCTGTTGAAAATAAAAATGCAATAGCTTTGTTGCAGAATGAGAATTTGACAATTAAAAAAGAATATTTGGAGTGGAATATAAAAGAGGAAGAATTGGATAAACAAAAATCAATATTGAACAATAAAATTAGTGAAACCGATTCCAGAATGCGAGGTTTATATCTTCCACAATTCATTGAGCTTTTCAAACGAAATTATGCTAAAATTTTAAAAATAGAACGGATTTTTAAAAGTGTTCATGCTTATGTCATCATGGCTTTCGACATTTACTTGAATATTTTAGCTGTTATGGAAGCGATTGATGCTGATCAGCAGTCATTTCGAAAGAAATTTATTGTTTTAAAAGGAAATGGTAGGGAGATGAAATGTGATGAGGCGTGGCAGTGGTATGAATCGGAGAAAAAAAAGTTTCGGCATCCGGTTTTTGTGCCTTTATTATTTGTGAGTATGCAGTGAATTTTTTAGAATGTGATTTATTTGTTGTGACTGTTGAGCTGTCGTCATATTCCATTAATAATTGTTCAGTTAAATAGCAGTCTCAATCAAAATGATTTGATTTGCTTTGTTTTCGGACTGATTCAGACAGTGTGATTAGAGATATACTACTATCTTCTACTCCACTTCTAAAAGAAGGTTGAAGTTACGACACAGTAAGCAAGATATAATTAGGATGGGAGAATACAAAGAAAATCAGTTCGTAATGGATTTATTTATTATTATGGATGGAATATTTAAATTTCTTATATCGTCACATAAAGAAATTTTGTTTAATTTTCAATTTTAGAGATACTTTCCATTTTCAGATGTCTTTGGTCAGTGATGACGCTGCAGTTTATTTAGAAAATATCATCGCACGTCGTGATTTATTAATGTTTATATTTCGTTGCAAAGAAGATGAATTATTGTTGACGGATAAACGGCATCCATGGAAAATTAATTCATGTATCATAAGCGATGATGAGGTTTACTGGCTTATGATAGTTTTATTTTTTTACACGGTTTTTTATCCCGTTATCAGTGAATCTACTTAATTTGTTAATCTGTGAAAATTTGACTGAGATTGATTGAATTTGCTTTTCATTTTAATATAGTTTATCATTTTTATTCTCTTCATCAAAAAGGTTTTGGATATAGAACAAGAAGTTGTTGTTTATGAATAATTTTAAAAGATTAGTTTAAAAATTTACTGAAATTTAGATAGCGCACTTTCAAAAACAAGAAGCGATGCCTGCACAGTTATGTTCCCTTGGATTCACTTACATGGCATCAAATCTGTATACTGCACCTGATCCTGTGAAAGCATATTTGAACAGTGTTGCGTCGGTAATTATTAACCTAGATAGTAGTTGTTTTAACCACTTTTCGGATGATGTATCGTTGTATGGACTCCTTACTATTTTTAATACAGGGTTCTCTAAGTTGTATGTCCTGGTGCTAATTTAAGTAAAATCTTTGTTGGTAGTAATATTCACTTTCATAAACTATATGCCTTTCTTTTAGTTACATAAAATTCCCATTGGTACCCAAACGACAGAAAACCGCTTGCATGAAGTTTGTGAAGCACTCAAAAATTCTCATCGTTTGTTTCTAACAAATTCATTGCGGGTAATTCTTATATTATTTTTTTTTAAAATTCTGAACTACTAATAAAGAAATTAAAAGGAGTAGTTTTAATCTTACATCATGACTTTTTTAAAAATGAGTCGTATCCAAATAATGCTGTTATCATAAATTACGTCATTTTTTTCATGTGACAAAGGCGGTTGATAGTATTTGATATTTTCAGGTTCGAATCTCTATATCGCGCTACAGCGGTAATTTATCGGTTCGAACAGAAGCACTACGCACTTCTTTAAGACTTCTTGTTGTTCACACTGCTTTGCCTAAAAATAATGCACCAAGTCTCAATGAGTTGGAGAAACAATTAGCAAAGCTCAAGGAACTAGCAAGCGAGGTTACATTTTAGTTCTCTTTTATTTTCTTTGGTTCCCACGGTGGTTCATTTGATAGTGATGTTTCAGAATAACATGATCTTATGGTAGTGATAGTATCCAGTTAAAAAGGTCGTAGAATTTTTCTTTAGATGCGATCGGCTCACGAGCATATTGGACAAATGGAAAAAAATATCGCGCAGGGACGAGAAAAATGTCGTAGAAAGATGGTATGCGTTTGTAAGTCTTTTTCTCGGAAGCGAAGTAAAGATTCTTGGAGTGGTATCATTTCGACTAAGATAATTTTTATTATATATTAAGTGAATCCATTTTTTGCATTTAAACATCCAAAATCATTTACATTTCAGGATACATTTATCAAAAAGAAAGATGCACGAAATATCATTTCAAATCAACTGCGTTCGAAAGCTGCGAGGTTTTATCTCATTTTGCGACAGTTTTTTTTTTTTAAAAACACATTTTTATTTACGAACTGCTGCAATGTAGCAGAAATCATCTAATTTAAAATGAAAAATCTCATTGATAATTTTGATTATAATTTCTAGAATATTCTTTTTAAACTGCTAATTAGAGATATACGTCAGAGAACTGCCACGCCGACTGTGTCTTATTTTATAGGTTGCAAGCCATTGAAAATGATAAACCCGATTTGAATGTTGCTGCGCAAAAGTTCCATAAAGCTAAGAATGAAATCATTAAAAAGTCATTTGAACGGGCTGAAAAAATTGCTAAATTGATGGTATTATTTTTCTTTAAATTTCAAAAGGATATTTGAAAATGTTTCGCACCACCGCCCTTTGGAAGAAAAAAGTGGGATTAAGGGTTCAATAGTTAGTTTATTTATTTTTTGTCTTGCGGCGCTTCTATCTTTTCTGATACTTTTTACACGAATTTTTTCCATGTTTGCGACTTCGTATCTTTCCAATTTTTGTGCTCTCTTTCTTTTAGCCAGCCTTATTATCTAATTATTTCTGTTAATTTAGACGTCCTTCCAAAACCCTAGTGAAAAAATATTTCTGACTAACAGGAAATCATTAGTTTTTGCTCAATGTTTCTAAACTGTGTATGTTCAGGAAAGAAGGAAATTACTCACCCAGAATGCATTATTTGCAACATTGAGTACGAAAAAAGTAGTGAAAGAATTGGAAACATCGCAGAAGCGATTGAACCACTTTGAGCAGGAATATGAATCTAAATTGGTATTTTAAAATTTTTAACTGATTCCAACTTTGGTTTTCATTCGTGTTTCAAGTAATCTTAAAAAATTTTATCAAGAGATCTTCACAAAATTATTTTGGATGTTTTTCTTTTTTTTTGAGGATGCGATCAGACATACTGAAATAACTATTAAATTGGCAATGCAAAGAGTAGAAGAAGACAAGCAAAGATTGTATAAATCAATCGGTGTTGAAAATTCATCTGCAAGCGAAGCGGCTAAGGCATTAGAAATTTTGAAAAGGGTTTGTTAATAAAGTTAATATATCGGTAATTCAATCCACGCATTATCCTTGGGTGTAAAATATTAGTCAATGTATTTTAATGCAATTTTAACATATGTTGTTGTTACAGCGAAAATTTTACATAGGACAACTGTTGTAAGGCACTGTATATCCGTTTAGTTAAGTTATGTTACTTAAAAATTATCAGGAAAAATTACGCACTGCTATCAAACTTGTGGATAAAATATGTATATCTTGTTATTGTAAGATTTTGTACTGAACAGAGCTATGAATTATTTTTCTGAAAATGATTTCCAATAGTAGCTTTAAATATGTCCTGATTTTATTTCGTTGTTTACGAGTTTGTCATATATCTCAAATTTTTAGGGTTTTGATTCCTATCAAATTCCCAACACTAAGGAAGAGATACAAATCCGAATGGCACGTGAACAGGGAAAACTGGATGCACTACATAGTGAGGGAGAGAAAAAAGTTAGTTTTGCACTTTTTTGTTGCATATTCAGACGACGACCTTTCAAATAAATATTGTAATTTCTTATTTAAAAAAAGGATGAACTACATTTGAAATAATGCCACTTCGAATTGATAAATGCATTACATTTTTGTGTGAAACTTTTCCAATTATTATTCTTTTTGCTACGTCACATTTTAGGATATTGAACGTTACGAAAAACTAACACGGAAGAGAGAATCTCTCATTAAAGAAATGGCTGGTAGGAAGAAAGATGTATGTGGTCTGTTTAATTCTTTCGTGGGTGTTTAGCTTTCTAAATTGCTTCATTTAAGCAGAGTAAACTTTCATGAAGTAGAAATTTCGAAAAAATACAGGATAAATTGAACAAGATATTTCAAACTAAGTAAAAAAGTAAATAATTCTGTGGAAATGTTTATCACTGTTTCAGAGTATCATATCATGTAAGTAGAACAAAGAAGTAAAGGAGCTTTTATATTTACGAAAGTAGTTATTGTGAGGAATTACTTGATAATCCTTGATTTTTCTCTGGTATTCGTTATTTAAGGTTGATGAATGGGAAAATAAGCTCAATCGCCTGTTGGAACGATGGCTTTTTCAATTGGAAAGTGTTGTTGGAAAGTTGAATCAACATTTTAGTTTCTTTTTTGAAAATATGGGATGTTCTGGAGAAGTTCATCTTCAGAAACCAGACGATAAGGTGATTAATTTGAGATTTTTAGTTATGAAAATTTTCCGAAGTATTCAATTTTTTCATGATTTATATCAATTTTTCTTTGTATATGTAATTTTTTAATGAAATGTTTCTGGCGAAATATTTGTGTCAACGAACACCTCAATTTTTTCATCAGATCCCAGTTTTTTTTTTTGGAAAATATGAATCGTTTTTTATTTTAACTATTTCTTTCTAATTAACTTGCAGTTTGATATTCTGAAGTATGGCATCATAGTAGCTGCCAAATTTCGGGAAGGTGAAAGGCTTCGACAGTTAACACATCAGGCAAGTTTATGCATTCTTCACTTTTTTACTGTATAACTTCGTTTATTTTTCACTCTTTCTCCGATTCGTCTTCATTGTAATGAAAATTAAGTTTTCGAAATAATTGATAGTTTAATATTTATATACTTGACATTCTTGGATAATCTTATATTACAGACACAGTCAGGTGGTGAACGTAGTGTGATCACAATGCTATATATCTTGGCATTGCAAAAGCTAACTGTAGTACCTTTTCGTTGTGTTGATGAAATCAATCAAGGTATCAGATTTGTCGGTATTTCCTAATGAGAATCAGGTTTATATTAAACAGAAAAATTGATGATGGACTTGAATAGAACGAAACGGTATAGTGTATTGTAGGATAAATTCTCAATCAATTCTCTTTGAATTCGAAAAGTAGCTTTCCTATAATTAAACTGTAACTCATACCTTCTTTGCTTAGAGTCATTACGATTGATTCGGTAAATTAGGCTTATAATCATCTTCAATATGCTGAAATAAAATTTCGGGAATATGTTGCGTTATGGTTGGGAATTATTCAATATTATTTGTTCATACTATGAGATTTTATTATAGAATTTCATGATATTAATTGTAGAATAAAACAGGACGTTAATAGCAAAATGGGATGTAAAGGACGCGAGTATATGTTGGTCATATTTGTTTTGAAGAATATTTCAAACTAGATGATTGGTAAGAACCAGTCTTTTTTCAGGAATGGATCCAAAAAATGAGAAGACTGTATTCAATATGATTGTAGATACACTCTCTAAAGATAATGATTTAACGAAAACGCAATATTTTATGTAAGTTTCTTCAAGTTTGAACTAGAGTAATGCCGTATTCTCCAATAACAATTTGACATAGTTGAGAAAAGGGATGTTTTAGGTAGACATACGTTGCATGTGATCATATCCTGGGTAGCAGTTTGGTGAATAAATTTCCTAGATTTATTATGATTACAAAATTTTCAGACTTACTCCCAAACTGGTGCCTGATCTCAAATTTAATCAAAAGACGAAAATTCATTGCATTTGTAGCGGCGGAAAGCTTACCAAATGCAAAGTAAGTATAAATCTTACTATTGTTTCAATAATTTCCTTTAAACATTCCATCTTTTTTTCGGTAATAATAAAACCATGCGATACAAGAGGAATTCAGATTGCGAAGTTTGTAGCCTAAATCATATGACATTTTATTTAAAATTAATTTACTATCTTTTGTTCTGAATTACTCTTAGCGATATTTAAACATAATAAAATAAGGCTTTCTACGCCTTCAGGAGGGAATTTTTTTTTTTGAAGTGGTGTTGAGATGTTTATGTAGAAAACAATCATAAATTTGATTTTAAATCGCTTTAAATCTTTCTTATTTCCTTATTCCGCAATAACTTAGTTCCATATACACTTGACATTATTTCGAGACAAATGAAAAATATTGCTACATATTTATTAGAAAACAGTGAAAGATTGACGATCACTTGGTGAGTGAATTATATGAGCTGAAATGTAACACTCTCGCATTTCATTAGATTGTGGTTATTGTCCCAATGCTTCTGAAGTACTTATTTAAACTAACATTTAGAATGTTTTGAAGGAGGTAGTATGGGAAAGAAAATGAAGGAACAAACTAACGAAATTGAAAGTTTTGAAGTATATTCAAAAATTATGTGAAGAAAATCTTCCAACAAACAAAACGTCGTTGAATATTAATTAGAGAGCGACAGTTCAAATTGAAATGTTTTTAACTTTCAAATGAAATTGCAAGTCAACAGTCATTATTTTTATTTTAGAGTTGGAATGTTGCGGGATTTATTAATAGTGTGCGAAATCGGCAATGGACTATAGATCAATAAACTGTAAACAGCCATGGTAACTCACAGTAATATTTCTTTTCTCGTAAATTAAAATGATCTCACATTTTATAGTTTTGATCTTGATCTGTAACCAAATCTTCCGACATTTTCATAGAAAGATTTTTCACTGTTTGCATATTCATTTAATTCTGTTTTAATTTTTTACTGGTGTATTAAATGGCAATAATGCTCTACTTCTATATTCATTTTCCAATTATTCATCTCTTTACTTAACGTATCCTAGCTCATATTTATTCCGTGTGAAATGAGAAATATTTTCACGGGTATTAATTTTCAATCTAATTCATGTGTTTGTTTTCATTGTGCCTCGTTCCGTCTTTGTGATCTCATTTATTGCTTTTTTTTACGAAAAGCTATCAATCGTATGAGCAATTCGAAATTTTTATGAAATAAAAAGTCCTCAAAAAATTTAAGAGTTAAATCCTTCTAAAATTTAAAATTCATCTTATTAATCTATGCAACCAAACTATTACTCATCGTCTTTAGACAAATTTTTCTCAAAAAGTTATTATTGTATTGTAATCATTTATTTCTTTGCAACAACGAAACTGTAAGATTTCATAGGAATGAAGTTTTCAAATAAATTTTTCTTTTAACAACATATAATAAGCATGTTACCTTTCGGAAGATAAAACTGCGAGGTTTGCTTACGCTATAATTTCCTTGTCTATTTGATTGTATTAAAAAATTCTCTTCTATTATAGCTTTTGGGACTAATTTCCCATTTTTTGAACTTCAGTACTTGAACATTCATTTAGAATTTGAGAATACCCTGTCACGTTGGGCTCTTTGGATTAAATTTAAATAGTATATTTTATTCCATTATTTTTTAAAAGTATATATGATAAATTAGTGATTCTAATTACAAGTAGCAATAACATAACAGAAATAACTGATCATTTAAAAACGAAAAGGTTGTTGTATCCTTGGTAATATCAACTCATTTTTTTTCCTAGTGTTCTGATTTACAAAAAAATTTATTGAAGCTTCTTTTGGAATCATTTTATTTAACGTACGTGGAAGCGATCGTCCGTATCGTGGTTGAAGTTTCATTGATTCGGTTGGTTTCAAGCGCGCCTGAGGACGGCTTGACCGTTTCGTATGTATTCGTGATGGAAGCAAGTAAATTTCAACACTGTAAACTTTTAATTTTAATTTGAATTTGGATTTGTATGCTTATGAATGTGGGAAAATAATAATTCGATGTTGAAAAAAATCTGTTTTCGGAAGTTATGTTTAACTGGATAAGGGTAATAAGGAGTAAAGAGTACAATAGGAAACATATTAAAAGTGTTTTAAAAAATGCAAAATATACTTTCGGCAGTTTTCGTGATTAATTTGTACACGTCTCAGTCGTGCAGATCTCACGCCATTACTTCTGAGAGATGAATCACAGTATGCAAGCAAATGTTGCATTTGTTCTGATAGGTATGAAGAAAATGGGAATTTCAATTGAGCAATGTGATAGAGAAGATCTAGATAGCCATGAAATGATAAACCTGAATTCCTTTCAGTTTCATTATAACAACTATCCACTGATCGCGTATTATGCAAAATTTGATTCTATTAGATGGACTATTTGAAAATTGGAAATAACGAGAGATTTCTGAGCAATAGGCTTTTAGCGACTGCGACCTAATGATTACCGAATTTAACTACGAATAAATTATCATAAATTCGCTGTATAGTGATTTTTTAATATACTATTGCATTAGCAATATCTTCTATTGCTACTTGTTTGCTTAATTCAAGATTACAAAAGATTATGTGAAACAAACCGGAAACATATGGAATGTATTCGTTTATCGTAAAATATTTATAAATTTCCACAAATTTTATTTCCATTTCCTCCACTGTAATTACATCTAACAAACTGCATTTTCTGCAAAAAATAGAAAAAAAAATTTGCAAATAAAGATCTCGCAATGTATTTCCTATATCAATTCCCTTCTCCTGGCATGTGTCAACTTTCCTTTTTTGAGATCTGTCAACTCTTTCCTTTTTTTTAGAATTCCTTTCTTATGTTATGTTCATATCAGTCCTTAAAACGATAGTGAAATAGAGAATACTGTTAGTACTTTGATAAAGTTATCAAATAATTAAATGAATAAATTCGTTAAATTGTATTTTCGTCCATTATTATCAGTTCAAAAGCAAACTTTAAAAAAATTCGAGCGCCGGAAATTGTCATAACTGTTGTCTGTTTCAAATTCACAAATTGCATAAATAAATAAACAGCTTTGTCTAAGAATAGCAGATGTCCACTGCTATGTCCATAGCGGCATGGAAAAATCTAAATAATAAGATTTTTAAACCTTATCAGTAGAAAATGTCAATAAATAACGAAAAGATTTATTTTGCTGGACAATTAGCCATTTCATACCTCTGTTAGATGACACCTTCGTTTTGCTCCAAGTTCACTCATATCATCCATCGCTTTCCGAAAACAGCTATTACTCGAACGTCTTAAATTACTAAAACTAAGTTTTGACTTTTTTTGCATTGTAAGTTCCAAAAAAGTTGTGAAAAATCGGAGTTGAAAATAAAAATTGCCAAGAATTAAGTAATATGGACATTTGGTATTTTCAGAAAAGAAGCAAAAAAAAACCGAAAACTAAGATTTTGCAAATTTTCTTTTCCTTCATTTTTTTCGAAAGTTTTAATTGTTTTCATCAAAGCAATCGCTGATAAAAACTAACACTAACGGCTGAGTCGAATAAACATCATCGATTAAATTGAGAACTAAAAGAATTGTATCTCTTACCAGTGGAATTTTAATGACCTATAATATGATAATTAAATATTTATATTAAAACCATTTCGGGGTTTTAACAATGATTGTAAATCAAGCTATATTGTTCAACGGCCAACACTTTTGGACCTTTCCAAAAGATCGTTTATGGCCTGCTCACCTGTGTGCTATAAAAAGTAATTGAATAATGATTTGTTTCTCGGAAATGTCCAATATGAACACATTGCTTGTAATTTTATCCTCAGAACTATTATTGTTCTTATCATTAACAGAAATATTATTTTAATCATTATTAAGAAATTATTATAGCTATTTATTTTAGTTACGATAGCTATATTGTGGCTAGTAAAATTAATGATAATTTGAAATATTAATAGTAAATCTGTAATACCAAAAACTTATAACGAAAATTGTTTTTTTGATTATATTGTTTAAATTGTCACCTATGCCTAACAATTTTAATAATTAATTTTATAATTTACTTATAATAAAGTTGTAATTCCATAAAAGATCAAGTAATACTCACTTCGTCCACAATAGAGCGTACCCTTATCGGTTCAATATTTTCCTTATTATCATCAAACGAATACAAAATATCATGCTCGATCGTTAAGCTGGGAGATGAATTTACTTCGAGCAATATTGGTATCAAATTTTTTGTAATCAGTATATCAAAACCTATTATCTGGAAGAAAATCTATCTGCTTTATTGAAAATATAAGAGAAAGTTTTTCCGAAAGATTGATATTTACATTGATAATATTAAAACTGACATATTTCATTTGTGCATTAATTTTTATTTCGTATTGATTATGTCATCTTACATTAATTAAACAAAAGCTAAAAATATAAAAAATTACTGAATTTAGTCAGTAATTTGAATTAATTCATAAATAGTACAGCCCTTATTATATGGAAAAGGAATCAAATTGAACTGATTCCCATCATCAAACTCAATTAATTGAAATATTTAAATCATATACCTGAAAGCATTGCAGACCCATTGTATCATAGAAATAATGCTCGTAATTGAGAATAATCTCAGGTAGCATTGCAATTACCGTTTTAACAATTATTATTTTAATATTATGCCATAACTGTTGCTTTTTTACACCTCGAGTCTCCATTTGATGAAAAACGGTGGACAACAATCGTTTACTTCCTAAAATAATATCGTAGAAATTTTAATTTAGAGATCATGTGATAATGCTAAAATTCAATAATTGATAGTAATAACTAATAGCAATAATTATAATAATCCATTTAAAAAAAGTAACATGTTTTTTATTCAAAATCATATGCTAAAATTTTAATTACATCACAGCAAAAATTTAGCTTTATATTAATTGAATAAATATTAAATAGCAAAATTAAAATTTGATCAAAATTTCATCATTTATAAGTTTAAAAAAGGATATTTAAGAAATGGCAGTCATTTGCCGTAATCCGAATATCTATCTTAACTAACAAATGTAAATACAATGTGACCTTTGATCTGATCTCGTAAGGATAAACTGTGAATGTAAGCGTTATTTTCTTTATTCAATGAATAATTTGTTAAATGAGCATATAAATTGTCAAAATTTGATGAAGTTGGTGTGGTATATTGTTCCGTGCAAAATCGTGCCATACCTGAATGGTTTATTGAATTAAAAAAAATCAAGAAAATTTTTAAAAATTGTAGTCAATTAATTTGAATTTTCATTTATTGAGAAAGCAATTTTAACACTGTTTTTTACAACTGAATTTTTTTTTATTCACATATTTTGAATTTCAAATTATTCTTCAAATAATTAGTTAAGCAAGGAGGAGAATACAGTGTTATAATGGCAATAAATGAATGAAATGATGTCCAAATGAATAATTTCGAAATCTCAATAGTATTGAAAATATCGAGTATTTAACTTTCATTACTTTCGCATCACCTACTTTTATTTTTCTTTTATTTAACTATCAATATGTTAGAAAATTTTCTCTTTCGATTTATGTTTTGAAATTTTAAACTAAAAACCTGTTATTGTGATCGAATTACTAATAATATCAATTTCAAAAATTTTTTCTTTTTTAAAATATAATTTTCTTCTGTAAATGGTAAGCATTTATGATTGAAACCTTCGCGAGCAACATAAATTGACAATGGATTGATGCTTTTAATGACAGCATATATGCGAAAATCAAATTTCAGATTGTCATTCAACAGATAAGGATCCGCAATATACTCTTGAATTAGTTGACACGCTTCAGGTTTCCGTATTTGCTCTGGTTTTTGGATTAGATAAATCCCTGTTCCCTGAGCTCCTGAAAATCATATTAAAAAAATTATCGAGTATAATAAGTTTATATGTTTGAGTTAGCTAATGTATGCTTAAAATTTGAACATGATTTAGATAATGTGTAACATGAAATTCACGCTAAATTTGAATGGATTGAACGTTCACCTACCATCATTTGGCTTGACAATATACCAGTTGCTATTGTGATGTGACGTCGAACTGTCTTCAGATTTTTCGCATTTGTTGCAATATTTGATGAATGCATCAAGTTGTGCCGGAATAAACCAACTAGACGGATAGAACGTATACTCATCCGGAAACAGTCGACGCATTGAGGAAATTGCTCGCGTTAGCGAAATTT